TCCCCGGCGCACTGCCGTCCTCCCCCACATTCCCAGCCCCATTCCCAGCCCCATTCCCGGTATTCCCGGCCCCATTCCCGGTATTCCCGGCATTCCCGGCGTTCCGCGCTCACCGGCGGCGCCGCTCCACGTGCAGCAGCCCCCGCGCGTTGACGCTGCAGAGCAGCTCCCGGCCCTGCAGCAGGTCCAGCCGCAGCGGCGCCGCCGTCACCACGAGCCGGTAGCCGCCGTCACCCAGCGCCAGCTCCACGGTGGCCTCGTCCCGGTGCGTCACCGTCAGCCTGAGGGTGACAAAGGGACAGGGTGACTTGTCCCCATCCCCATGGCAGCTCCCTCATCCCGGTGTCCCCATGTCCCCAGCTCCACGGTGGCCTCGTCCCGGTGCGTCACCGTCAGCCTGAGGGTGACAAAGAGACAGGGTGACTTGTCCCCATTCCCATGGCAGCCCCCTCATCCTGGTGTCCCCCTGTCCCCAGCTCCATGGTGGCCACGTCCCAGTGCGTCACCGTCAGCCTGAGAGTGACAAAGGGACAGGGTGACTTGTCCCCGTCCCCATGGGAGCCCCCTCATCCCGGTGTCCCCCTGTCCCCAGCTCCACGGTGGCCACGTCCCGGTGTGTCCCCATCAACCTGGGGGGGGACACAGGCACAGTGAGACACGGTGGCTTGTCCCTGTTATCCTATCTAGGTCCCCTCAGCCTCCCCATGTCCCCAGCTCCGTGGTGGCCCTGTCCTGCTGTGTCACTGTCAGCTTGGGACTATCCCCATGTCCCCGTGTCCCCATCCCATGTGATGTCCCCATGTCCCCGTATCCCAGTGTCACTCACGGTTCGGTGAGCAGGTCCCCCACCAGCACGTTGGGCACGCGGGACCGTCACCGCGCTGGCCCCGTGTCCCCATGCCCCCGTCCCACCCGGTGTCCCCATGTCCTGGTGTCCCCGTCCCCCGGTGTCACTCACGGCTCGGCAGGTGGCTCCCCCACCAGCACGTCAGGCACGCGGGAGCGTCACCGTGCCGGCTCCGTGTCCCCATGTCCCCATCCCACCTGGGGTCCCCATGTCC